CTTTACGGAATCAAACAAACTTGTCAAAAAAAAATCAACATTTTAGTACTAATTAAAGTACCATAATATTAACATTAACTATGCATCATCCTCGATCACCCGAAAATTTTGTGTAGATCACTTACGATTTTGTGCAAACAAACAATTTTTGTTTATACAGGAGGGGGGGGGGCAAAGTGGCAAATCAATAGAACGGAACGGGTTTAGAGGGGGAGGGAAAGGGGGACGGGGTGTGATAGCCAAAGGGGGAGGATATTAAATTGAAACAGTATCCCTGGAAAGATAAGTCTGGCGAAGCTGCGCTCGTGTCTGAGTGAACACGACCGGACAGTCCCACCAGCATCCAGCAAGGTGGGAGATCACCGCTGGAGATTCTATAGCTCGCTATTGCTATCTGTGATGTATGTATGTATGTATGTATGTATTTATGGATACATGTATCACACAGCGTAAAAGGTCTCAAGAGTGCCCGGGACACATTTCCAAAGTGAATTCGGAAACTGGAAGGAAGTAATAGCAGGAAGTGTACTGGAGGACCCCAGGAGCTGCCATGCAAGAAGAGCAAATGGTGCAACAAGGTGGAGGTTGTGGTGCTGCCTAGGACCTCCCAGCTGGTTCACCCTCCCAGCTGGTTCGCCCTCCCAGCTGGGTCACCCTCAGGTGGTGGAGACAATCACGACGGGCCCTCAGGGAACAAACACGCTCTAGGTAGTGGGGGGGATAACGAGGGCCCACTCCTGTATTCTCCAGGACCCGTGTGTGTGTGTTACTTGACTTCTGCCTTCATCTGTTTCTTGGAGCTTTCTTCTTTTCCTCGAAGCCATTTTGGGTTGTCTTCAGTTTAGATGCAGCTTAACTAAGACAGACGCACTCTCACGACTCCAGGTACTTAAGACACCCACCTTTACTGTACGTAGCATAAACAGCGAGAGGTGCATACAGATGGTTGGGTATATGATTCGTGAGAGAGAGGAGAGAGAGAGAGAGAGAGAGAGAGAGAGAGAGAGAGAGAGAGAGAGAGAGAGAGAAGGAAGAAAGATGGGAGAAAAAAGGGCGGGAACGAAGAAGGGAGGAAGTGAATGAAGGAAAGAAGAAAGGGAGAGAGGGAAATTACAAATGAGGAAGGCAGGCTACCACGCACGCACGCACGCACGCACGCACGCACAGGAATGTCAGTAAAGCTGCACCCTTCACATGATATTTAACAACCAAATCCTAAATTGCTCCCTCCCCCTCCCCCCCATGTACTATGGGGGGAGGGGGAGGGGTAATTGATACTATGGGGTATCAATTAGTGATAAGTTTCATTCCCGTTAACTCCCTTTTAATCAGGTCATCTTTAACTGACATAATTTAATCCATCTGCCTTGACTTCTAGGAATCATAACACGTGCTAAGACCTGATAAACAATGGCCTTTACTTGTAATGGTCTTGCCTTCTATGGCAGTTTTTAGTGCTTGTTGTATTTTATTCTTAATTTCACCTCTATAGCACCTTTTCCCTCCTCCTAGGGACGTGAACGAGACGGCTGTAAGGCATTTATGTCAGTATCGCTAATTGGCAGAGGATCATCGGGTGGAAGCTGTTGGGCCTTATTCTTCGTGTTGATGGGCTAGGGGGGATGAGGGGGGGTGAGGCCGGTGTGAATATCCGCTGCCTGAATAATTGCATCATTGGGAATCGAACGCCGATCTTGCAAAATGCGAGGCTATCGCTTTGTAGCGACCAGATTCACGTGTGTGTGTATTCACCTATTTGTGCTTGCGGGGGTTGAGCTTTGGCTCTTTGGTCCCGCCTTTCAACCGTCAGTCAACTGATGTACAGGTTCCAACGCCTACTGGGCTCTATCATATCTACATTTGAAACTGTGTATGGAGTCAGCCTCCACCACATCACTGCCTAATGCATTCCACCTGTTAACTACTCTGACACTGAAAAAGTTCCTTCTAACTTATCTGTGGCTCATGTGGGTACTCAGTTTTCACCTGTGTCCCCTTGTTCGCGTCCCACCGAACAAGGAACGTCTGTGTGTGTGTGTTTAATAGTTGTGTTTTTGCGGGGGTTGAGCTTTGCTCTTTCGGCCCGCCTCTCAACTGTCAATCAACTGTTTACTAACTACCTTTTTTTTTTTTTCCCCACACCCCCCCCACACACACACACCCCAGGAAGCAGCCCGTGACAGCTGACTAACTCCCAGGTACCTATTTACTGCTAGGTAACAGGGGCACTTAGGGTGAAAGAAACTTTGCCCATTTGTTTCTGCCTCGTGCGGGAATCGAACCCGCGCCACAGAATTTCGAATCCTGCGCGCTATCCACCAGGCTACGAGGCCCCCAGGCCTCGTAGCCTGTAGAACTGTGTGTGGCCTCGTAGAACTTGTGTGTGTGTGTGTGTGTGTGTGTGTGTGTGTGTGTGTGTGTGTGTGTGTCTGCGTGCGTGTGTGTGGGGAGAACGTATTTGGACATTCGAAATCGTTATATCTAAATACTGGTGAGAGCCAGTAGCCTCGTAGCCTCGTAGAACTTGTGTGTGTGTGTGTGTGTGTGTGTGTGTGTGTGTGTGTGTGTGTGTGTGTGTGTGGTGTGTGTGTGTGTGTGTGTGTGTGTGTCTGCGTGCGTGTGTGTGGGAGAACGTATTTGGACATTCGAAATCGTTATATCTAAATACTGGTGATTGTTCTTAACAGGGCCTAATATAGCCAGGCTTACAGGGAAGACGTAGTGGGTGGGAGAGTAGTTGAGGATGCAAAAGGCTAGGCGAGGTGACACAAGAGCATGGGAAGGGTTGGATAGGAGGGATGGAGTGACGGGTGATGTGGGTTGGGAGGACGGAAGGGAAGGGGGAAGGGGGCAAAGTCCATGCAGCCCCCCCCTCTTCTCCACGCCGTGAGCCGCTACTGCTAAAGAGGGAGTGGTTTCGATTGTTGATGAAGTCTGGTCAGGTAGACTGCCTCACCCCACACAACCGTTGACCTTTGCACCTGTGCTGATGCTTGCCTCCTCTACACACACACAGAAGAGCTAGAGGGGACATGATCACCACATACAAGATTCTCAGAGGAATTGATAGCGTAGATAAAGACAGACTATTTAACACAAGGGGCACACGCACTAGGGGACACAGGTGGAAATTGAATGCCCAAATGAGCCATAGATATGTTAGAAAGAACTTTTTTCAGTGTCAGAGTAGTAGACAAATGGAATGCATTAGGCAGTGATGTGGTGGAGGCTGACTCCATACACAGTTTCAAGTGTAGATATGATAGAGCCCAATAGGCTCAGGAATCTGTACACCAGTTGATTGACAGTTGAGAGGCGGGACCAAAGAGCCGAAACTCAACTCCCGCAAGCAAAACTAACTGAATACACACATATATCCTTTCTATTTGTCCTCATAGCCCAGCTTCTTGTCCTCATATCCCAGCTTCTTGTCCTCATATCCCAGCTTCTTGTCCTCATATCCCAGCTTCTTGTCCTCATATCCCAGCTTCTTGTCCTCATATCCCTTCCAAGTGTTACATAATCATACCAACTTTACAGTTTTTCTTATAATTGCCTTACCTTGAAAGGCGGTCTTAATGGGAAATTAAGAAGCGGAACAACAGTTGAATGAAGATGAAGAAGCGGAGCAACATGAAGAAGAAGGGAGCTCATCAGGATGAAGAAGAAGGGAGCTCATCAGGATGAAGAAGGAGAGCTCTCATTCAATGAAATATACGAAAGTCTTTATTCTTAGTAAGTAATGCTAAGAAGTATTTAATAGCTTTCCGTTATTGGAGAGAGGAAATGCTGTTAGGATTGTCGGCGGCATTCAAGTCATATCCCCGAGACCAACACGTGAAACTTGCTAATGACACAGCAAGCTAAGAGCTGTTTCCCTGCATCAGGTCACCCGAAGCCTGTCCCTAGAAACCCATTTTTGGCGAGCCTAATTATTCATTATAAACCATTATGAATAAATACAATGGCAAGTAACAATAAAGTATGAGAACTGGATGAACCAGAAGCCAACTGTTTGCCAAAGGTTTCATCTTGGTTAGTTTTCTTGATTGCACATGTATATGCGTGATGAGCAAGCTGGTTGCAAAGGCGAAGTAAAGTTAAATGAACAAATCCGCAAGGGCCGTGACGAGGATTCGAACCTGCGTCCGGGATCCTCGTCACGGCCCTTGTGGATTTGTTCATTTGATGCATCACGTTAGTGTGATCTCTGTGTGTGGCGAAGTGAAGTTTTTGAGAAAGGCTCCCTACGACCTCCCCCCTATCCTCAACCCCCCCCCTATCCACTATCCCCCTTAGCTTGTCTCTGTGGCTGGGTGGTCAGGATAGGGATACACAACTCTCCATCATAAGAGAACGACGCCCCTCCGACTCTCTTCCCGGGATAAAAGGTTTTAAGATAAATATCTCGTATAAACTTTCACTTGCCAGGGGAGGCTGAAAGGACTCCAGGGGCATGATTTACAGGGAAAATTGACATTTTGGGGGAAATGTATGGTGTGGTGGTTGTGTGGTGGGTGTGTGGTGGGTGTGGTGGGTGTGTGGTGGGTGTGGTGGGTGTGTGGTGGGTGTGTGGTGGGTGTGTGGTGGGTGTGTGGTGGTTGTGTGGTGGGTGTGTGGTGGGTGTGTGGTGGTTGTGTGATGGTTGTGTGGTGGGTGTGTGGTGGGTGTGTGGTGGGTGTGTGGTGGGTGTGTGGTGGTTGTGTGATGGTTACCTACCTTGAGGCTACCTTGAGGTGCTTCCGGGGCTTAGTGTCCCCGCGGCCCGGTCGTCGACCAGGCCTCCTGGTTGCTGGACTGATCAACCAGGCTGTTAGGTTGTGTGGTGGGTGTGTGGTGGTGGTTGTGTGGTGGCTGTGTGGTGGGTGTGGTGGGTGTGTGGTGGGTGTGTGGTGGTTGTGTGGTGGTTGTGTGGTGGGTGTGGTGGGTGTGTGGTGGGTGTGTGGTGGTTGTGTGGTGGCGGTGTGGTGGGTGTGTGGTGGGTGTGTGGTGGTTGTGTG